TAACACACAAAGAAAAACTCAAAAGCTTACTCCTTCTAAAATAGACCTTCCTGCAGCGGAAACATTTGTGCGTAGTCGCAGTGGCTTGTACAGAATGTTGTCGTACATTTCCGCTGTGTCACGACTGTAAAATGGAGGCTAGGAACAAAATGACAACATTTATTTCAAATTTTAAAAAAAGTGATATATTTATCAGCTACACAAGACTGATAACTTCTTTTTTTTTCATCTCATTGATTTCAGGTTGTAGCCCAGTGTCGTGGTTTTCTGTATTTGTTTTGCTTCTTGCGTGGCTTGGGTGATGGATTTGCTCATCTTTTTGCAGGTTTCAGCTACACCATTTATCCATCTCTTTCTTGGCCTTCCTCTTACCTTCCTCCCAGATGTTCTACTGTAAAAAGTCTCATATGCAGTGGTCTGGCTGCATTTTCACTAGATGGCCGAACCATTTCATTCTTTGCCTGTCAATATAATGCAGACATGGTCTTATTCCAACATTCTCTCTAGACTGATAACTGCTTAAGAAAAATATTGGAAGTTTTAGTGGCTTAGATGTTAGGTTGTACATAAATGTTTTGTCTATGACGTGAATTGTAGTTTTGTTGAAAATTTTTTTTCTTCTTCAAATTTTGAATACATATGGTTGCATAATCAGTTTTGCCCTGTTCTGAGACACAGTATAATGACCTGTCCATAACAGAATGATTGTCATGTGCTGGGGCTGGCGGTTTTCTAATCGATTTAATAATCCTTTTATTTTGGTGTTTTGCAACTGGCTGCTCTTTTATTGAACCCTTCCCTAAAAATGAATCACCTCTCTCATTTCAGGTACATTTGGACGGTCTCCACTGGACTCTATGTTGACAGCTGAGTTGTGTCAGCAATGTTTGCAGTTCTAGTAGTTTCCCAGACTGGAGTGCTTCAAGTACAGAATTTGTGTCTGTCATCATTACCACAGTCTGTGAGCCAGGATTGGTATTTACGTTGTTTCTCTGTTGTTATCTTGATTGCCTGGTTTTCTGCATTGTAATTATGACTACAGCATTTCATAGAGAAAGCTAAAAAAAAGTCCATCTACTTACCAAACCATATAACATTTCATAGAGTACGGCACCCAGGCACCACCAGTCGACAGTTTTATCATAAGGCTGTTTTCTCAATACTTCTGGAGCCAGGTACTACAAAAACAGAGACAGAAAATTGTTATGTATAGAAAGTAAGAAATAAGTGAAATCCTTAACTCATCCGTCCCATGTTGCTATTGCTGTTAACTCTTTTATTCCTAGCAGCTGAAGAAAATGAAACTTGTTATACTGTAGACTGTTGTAATCCTGAAGTGGGTTCCAGGCCTTATTTTTGGGTAAGAAAAGAATCAGATTCTCTGTTACATTTTAAAATTCTAAGTAAAATATTAAAAAACACCTTCAAAGTAAATAAACTACACCTGTGCCTCAATCTTGGATTGAAATTCATGAATCCATCATCTATTTTTCAATACCTATTTTTGTTTCTGCATTTTTAGAATTCTATGTAAATGGTTTTTTCTCCCCTAAGATGGAGGCCGTTACCACGGCAATTATGATTTTTAAAAACTTAAAAGTGTACAAATGTATTAACATACATCCCTACAAATAACTATTTTAAAAGAACTGGTCTAACATTGTAAATAAAACAAATGTTTTTTTTCGTATAGTGACCCATTAAAAAATATGTTGTAAAAAAGTGACAAATTGAGGATTCACTAAAACCTGATGTATAGGGTCAAAAGCTCAGATATTACAGTCTAGCTGTTAACCACAATGAGCCACTTCCTCTTTTAAGGGTGAACAAAGAAGAAAAAGAAGATGAAAACAATCTGTAGTACAGTTTTAAAAATTCAGTTAACAATTTGACAACGAAACTAAAGTAGCCAGATTTGCAATATAAAAGCTATGAGTCTTATTCTTTGTCTGATTTAGGCTTTAAAAGAGCTGTTTGTTCACTGTATTGCAGTTTAGTGAGCTTTTGGATTTTGGCATGAGCTTTTGACTTTTGGCCTGAGATTTTGGCTTTTGGACTGAGCTTTTGGCTTTTGGCCTGAGCTCTTGGCCTTTTGTCTGTTTTTGGCTTTTGTCCCAACAGATTCATTTTCAGTAAACACTTTCATAAACATTTTCAGTTGCCTTTTACAACAGGCTTGCTACAAGATAGTGAGTATATGTCCCCCCACTTCCCAAAGGGGCCCTAGAACCCTTACAGGAAGCCGGTCAGGAGTTAGAGAATGAAAGTTCCAGCCAGAATAAAAAGGACCCTTTACCTGCTGTCAGATCTATTGGGCATATAGGGCTAGACTTATATTTTATAGACCAACTGGCACTTGGTGGGTGATGAGATGGACATCCCACCGTCCACCTTTACTTCCCAATAGTACATCTGGTATCCATTTAAAGTTGGGTCAAGCTTGGAGCCAAGCTTATTTAAAAAAAAAAAGTTGAGCTCTGTCAAGACCGGTAATTGAGCATCTAACTGCTATACCACGGTAACTTCCTCCAGCCAAAAGGCTGAAAACTGAAATTGAAAATAAAAAAAATAGGTGAATTTTGCATTCAGTAGTTTGCCACTGTGGCCTCAATGGTTGGCTCTGGATACGATTGTCAATACCAATGAGAAATCGCCTGCAGCTAGGATAAAATCTGGCATTATTCTCAAGGCTTAATCCACAGACGCCAACTATTATGAGGGGGTTTCATTAACTCATAACACCACATACCTGACAGCTAAGTTATGGGACAACCTATCTTCAGCAAAATAACCACATACCTGACAGATCACTTATGGGACAACCTATCTTCAGCAAAGTAACCGCATACCCGACTGATCAGTTATGGCACAATCCCTTTTCAGTAAAGTAACCACATACCCGACTGATCAGTTATTGCACAAACTATCTTCAGTAATGTATCCACATACCTGACACAGCAGTTATGGGACAACTTATCTTCTGTAAAGTAACCACACACCCGACTGATCAGTTATGGGACAACCTATCTTCAGTAATGTAACCACATTACTGGTAAGTCTAAACATGAAAAGACCCCCTTATACCGATGAAGAATGCAGAGATAAATAAGGACACATCTGTTGGTGACAAAACAAAAATAACTTCCAGACCTAAAATAGAATACCTGATGCAAAAATAGAAATAGAAACTGCGTAAAAACAGTGTCACATTCATGAATTAGGATACAGATGTCAGAAACAATTTTGGGAAAACAAAGTTATTTATCTTCTGATGTCACTGCCACAATGGCAGTTTACTAATTAACTAAGGATATTTGGGTGGGGGAAGGGATAGACCCACTATCCTCTAACAAGTATGTCATACAAGGCTACTTGCTAGGGATGTTTCCTTGAGTGTCAGAGTACATCTGCCTGAGAGACAAGGACCCAGCAGTCTGCATGCAAATAAACTAGAGAACCAACAGTCTGCATGCAAATAAACTAGAGAACCAACAGTCTGCATACAAATAAACTAGAGAACCAACAGTCTGCATGCAAATAAACTAGAGAACCAGCAGTCTGCATACAAATAAACTAGAGAACCAGCAGTCTGCATACAAATAAACTAGAGAACCAACAGTCTGCATACAAATAAACTAGAGAACCAGCAGTCTGCATACAAATAAACTAGAGAACCAACAGTCTGCATACAAATAAACTAGAGAACCAACAGTCTGCATACAAATAAACTAGAGAACCAACAGTCTGCATACAAATAAACTAGAGAACCAACAGTCTGCATACAAATAAACCAGATCTGCAAAATAGATAAGCAAACTACTCAGGTTCTGAAACAGGACCGAAGTCCAGAAGTGGACGAACAACCAAAACTTTCCACCAGAGTTTACAGCCAGTGAATGTTAAGAAGAAACAGTCTAAAGTTCCTAGCCTAATTTGTTGACTTACAAGTTGTGCGTGTGTCTGTGTATCCAGAACTTTCCATCAGAGTTTGCAGCAGGTGAATGTTAAGAAGAAACAGTCTATAGTTCCTAGCCTGATTCGTTACCTTACAAGTTGTGCGTGTGTCTGTGTATCCAGAACTTTCCATCAGAGTTTACAGCCGGTGAATGCTAAAAGGAAACAGTCTATAGTTCCTACCCAGATTGCTCATTACCTTATGAGTTGTGCATGTGTCCGTGTATCCAGAAGGAAAGAAAAAAACAATAGTATCAAAGTAAACTACAATACGTGTCATTAGAGGTGGATAAGGATTGTTAGCACCAGACTGGTTACCTTATCCTGTGAATTTAAAACCAACAATAAATAAGTCTTTCCCCACGTGTGAACAGAGACTACATTAAGAAGGAAAAAGAATAGACACATTGCCCCTTCTCAAGCATGTCGTAGAAAACGACTAATTAGGAGTCCGAGTTTACAGTCAGTGAACGCGAGAATAAGAAGAAGAAGAGGAAGTAAAAGAAGAAGAAGAGGAAGAAGAAGAAGAAGAAGAAGAAGAAGAAGAAGAAGAAGAAGAAGAAGGAAGAAGAAGAAGAAGAAGAAAGAAGAAGATGAAGAAGAAGAAGAAGTTAAAGAAGAATAAGAAAAACAGGAAGAAGAAGAAGAAGAAGAAGAAGAAGAAGAAGAAGAAGAAGAAGAAGAAGAAGAAGAAGAAGAAGAAGAAGAAGAAGTAAAAGCAGAAAAAGAAGAAGAAGAAGAAGAGAAAGAAAAAAAAAGAAGAAAAAAATATGAGAAGAAGAAGAAGAAGAAGAATGAAGAAGAAGGAGGAGGAAAAAAAAAAGAAGAAGAAAAAAAGAAGAAGATGAAGAAGAATAAACAAGTTCACAAGAAATTTGTGGTGGAAGAAGAACAACAAAGAAAAGAGTGAAAGAAATGTGAAGAGAAAGAAGAGGCAGAGCAAGAAGTTAATGAGAAGAAAAAGAGAAAGATTAAAGATTCCAGCCAGCTAAGAAAACAGCCAACCAAATCTCTCATACAGTCACACAATGTGGTATCAGACTAACCTCTGGCGTGCCACAAAACGTGGAAGTTGTGCCTTGACCCACAATTCCTTCCTTGCAAAGACCGAAATCGGTGAGAACGATATGGCCCTGTGACGATGTAACAAGAAGCAGTTTATTATTTATGATCACACAATGTGTATAATATAGTCAATATAATTTGTAATTAGGAACACACAACATAGAAGGTATATCTTCTTTTTTTCCACCTTGTACCTCAGCGAAGTGTCGAAAATGGGGGGGGGGGGGGGGGGGGGGGGGGGAGAGAGGTGTAACGTTCGTTGATGAGCTCTGTCAAGAGCACTATTAAGATTGATGCTCATTTCTGTAAGGCTGTTCTTAATGCCATCACTCCATAATTTCCGAGGTCTTCCGCTCGCTCTGTACCTGGTGAAACGTTTTAGCATGGCTCGCTGTGGCAGATAGTACCAAGGCATTCTTGTTAGGTATTCAGACCACTTCATTCGTTGTTCTTTAATGGCTTTCCTTGAAATTCCTGCAGCTCTTCTAAGGCATTTCATTGGAAGGGGTATAACATATTGGAAGACGCCAATAAGAGGCATTCAGCAAAGATTCCGTTTAATGTAAAATCACAGATGTTATATTAAGCAGCAATGACAGAATAATGACTAGGAAAAGGATGCTCGGGGCGGAGATAGAGAAAGAGAGACAGAGATAAATAAATAAAGGTCTCCTTTCCACACCTTTAGGCGTATTGAGAATATATGGCTTGACCTATATCTTTTATAGACCAATCGACACTTGGTGGGTGATGTGGTCGGCATCACGCTGGCCGCCTTTCCTTCCCTGGACTGCACCTTAAGACTGGTTAGACCTGGGAGTCAAGATCATTTTTTTTTAAATGCCGAATTTCCCAAACAAAATTCGAATTCACGGACTCGTCATTGACTTATAGTAGATAAACAAGGGGCCCATATATGGCCACGCTCATTACATCAAATATTTGTGGACACAGGTCGGCCCAAGTAGGTTTGTCGACACATCATGTGCTTAACAAGTTAAAATCCGAATAGGAATAGAAGAAAATGAGTTGAACAGCTCAAAAGTAAGAATATAAGCGAAGTTTGACATTTTAAAACTGAAACAGCAGAAGCGCGGTAACATTACCAAGTAGGAATATAAGAGAAATAGGACAGTTTCAAAATGGGAATATAAGAAAAATTGGACCGTTCCAAAATGGGATTATAAGAAAAATTGGACAGTTTCCAAAATGGAAATATAAGAGAAATAGGACAGTTGCAAAACAGGAATATAAGAGAAATAGGACAGTTCCAAAAATTGAAATATAAGAGAAATAGGACAGTTCCAAAATGGGAAACATAAGAAAAATTGGACAGTTCCAAAAAAGGAATATGAGAGAAATAGGACAGTTCCAAAATGGGAATAGCAGAAGCGTGAGGAATCTCTAAAATGAAAACAAAAGAGGAGCGGGACGACAAAGTCAAGATAACGATGTTCAACAAACATATACAAGAATAGCAAAGTCATCGATTAAAACAAGAACAACAACACAAATAAAGACGAATCAAAAACACCTCAGCTCCATTATCGGTAGAAAGAAAACACACCATATTAACAGCTAAATGAAACGTCAGGACAGAAAAAGATAAAAGCCTTGATAAATACATTACTCCCAGAAGTACCACATCCTAATTTGTAATGATTTAAAAAATTTAAATCAAAGTGTCAGCTGTCAAGAAACAATTACAAATGCATTTATTATAGTCGAAGTAAGGGCGCCGGAATTTAGAGGCTCAGACACATAGAGCTCCCCCCCCCCCCCCCCACCTTTTATTCCCCTAGAATAGTGAATGGGACTAGAGTTTCCTTGATTTCCTTTGTTTTGGGGAGGGTGAAGGGAGAGGAAGGCATACAAATATTATACCTAATAATAAATACTATTATTATTTTTGCACACTTATACAAAGCTTAGCCACTTGTGCGCCTTCCCAGCCCCTAGACAATTTAGAAAGGAGCTAAATATTCCCAATGTTTTATCTGTGTTCCCAACCCTGACCAAAGTCAAAAACATTCGCATGTGAAACAACAGAAACGAATACCAAACAAACATATCCAAAGGTATACAGCACAGTGCACCAGTTTACGTGAGGTTAACCTGTGCCCGGTGTAAAGCCATTAAAAAACCCCCAGTGTTATTTATGAGTGACAGTTGGCTATTAGCGAAGCCATAATCTTATCAACATTCAATGCATGCACGACACGAACCGGCATGACAGTTGCAACTGCGTTTGTCAATATACTTCATATTTTACTGGCGCTCAGCTGGGGATTGAGGTCACGTTGTAAGGCAGGGCTATTCAACTGGCGGCTCGCGGGCCAAATCTGGTCCCGCGGAGGCCTAGCAAGTGGCCCATGGATCATTGCCAGTTGTATTGTTTTAATGATCTTTCTATGCTAAGGTTTGGCCCTCTGGCCTCTGACGATCCTCATTTTCCAAATTTTGGCCCCGTAATAAGCTTAGCTGAATAGCCCTGTTGTAAGATTTAGCTTTTTTTTTTACATAATAAAACTATGCTACGGTGTTTCCTACAGAGCAGGACTCACCCAACTCCCCTTTTTTGCAAAAGTGAGCTTCGCTCCCAGGTCGATCCAGTTTAAATGAGGATTCTTAATTTATAACGTACCCCAAACAGGAAATCCCCGTGGGAACTCCACAGCTGACCTGACAGTCCATTATTTCAAGGGGTGCAAGTGTGCTGTTGTTTGGTGCTTTGTTTGAGTGTTCATCTAGTGTCTTCTAATCATAATCCTAACCCTAACCCTAAACTTTACTGTAGAGAAATCGCGAGAAACTACAACCTGAACGCCCTAGAATTTATTGGGAATGTCTCCCGTGACGTTGTCGTGACGTCAGGGGTAAGTTATAAATTAAGTACCTTAATGAGTGCCAGGTAAGGTTCAGTGAAGTAAAGGCGCTTCCAGTGATGTTGACCACATCACCTATCCAGTGTCAGTGTCTATAAAATATAGGAGGCGTGGAAGACGGTCCTTAACCTTGCACCGGACATACAGTGACTGCGTAAGGCTGTGGTTTTCTCAGGCAGAATTAAAGTAATTGCTAGCTGGAACTAGAGGAGTTAAACCCATACTGGAGGGAAAAGCTGAAGTCAAGAGAACAAAAGGTAGCCAACGATACAAGTGTGAGGGCAACACCAAGGGATGAGCGAACAGCAGTCTGAGTGAAAGAACCAAGAGAAGAGATAGAGCGAGTTGAAGATCCACTGCAACCAAACCTTCATTGTGGGGACGGTATCTGACTGAATGGGTGACTGATTGATTGACTGACTGATTGAACTTTAACATTAATAGTCGTAATACTTGTAGTAGTTCTGGTGGTGTTGGTGGTGGCAACGAAGTATTAGTAGCAGCAGTAAAATAGCGAGAAGTTGCATAACAAAAAAGCAATTTAGTTTATTTAAAATCAGTTTCATCTTATCCTCGAGTGGCGGCCTCTGGTATATTCCCGGATATTATTTTCCCGGCCCCACGTGCCTCGCCAGACAATTGGCTTGACATCGACCTGACTGCCACGAGATACGAAGATAAGTGATACTGTGTATTTGTGTAGTATTGTCTATTCTATGTAGGTGCTGAAGAAGGCTTCATAGCCGCAACGTTCACGTTTTGTTTGTGTTTGTTATATGGTGAAGCTCGCTGAAATACTTTTCGCTCGGTTTTATATCTTTCACTGATGTTTATAATGATGGTGTTGATGATGATGATGGTGATACTGATGATGATAGTGACGATGATGGTGATGGTGATATTGATGATGATAGTGATGATGATGGTGGTGGTGATGACGATGATAGCGGTGATGATGATGGTCATGTTGATGATGATAGTGAGGATGATGATGATGATGATGATGATGATAGTGATGTTGATGACGATAGTGATGATGATGGTGGTGATGATGATGATGATGATGATGATATAGTGATGATGGTGATGTTGATGATGATAGTGATGATGGTGATAGTGATGATGGTGATAGTGATGATGATGGGTGGTGATGATGATGATGGTCATGTTGATGATGATAGTGATGATGATGGTGGTGATGATGATGATGGTGGTGATGATGATGATGATGGTGGTGATGATGATGGTCATGTTGATGATGACAGTGATGATGATGGTGGTGATGATCGTGATGTTGATGATGATAGTGATGATGATGATGATGATGGTCATGTTGATGATAATGGTGATGGTCATGATTATGATGATGATAGCCAAGCAGGATGAAACATGTTAATTAAACATAATTCCAAATGAGTTTGAAGTTTTAAAAAAAACCCCATTTCCCCAACCTTCCACAAAGGTCCTTTTTTCAGGCATATTGAGCATATGGGGGGGGGGGAGGGGTGGGGGACCAATATTTTATAGACCAATCAACACTCCGTAGGTGATGTGGCTAGGAACACACCGGTCGCCTTGACCTCATAGGACTGTACCTGGTACCCATTTAAGACTGGGTCGACCTGGGAGCTAGGGTCATCCCCCCTCCCCCCCCCCCAAAAAAAAAAAAATAATCCAGCATCGTTCAGATTTGAACCCAAACGTGTGTCTAGCCGCCACAAAAAGCTGGCTCCCCGGCCCTCCTAAAAAAATAAAAAAAAATATTTTAAAAAAAATTTGAGAGAGAGAGAGAGAGAGAGAGAGAGAGGATAGAGAGAGAGAAGAGATAGAGAGAGAAGAGAGAGAAAAGAGAGAGAGAGAAGAGAGAGAGAGAGAGAGAGAGAAGAAATAAACCTACCGTTGAGTCGAGCAGAATATTTTCTGGTTTGAGATCTCTGAAACAAAATCAGAAATAAATGACAAACAGCAACACATCTATAAACATTTATAAACGAAAAAGAACGAACAAAAGAAAGAAAGAACGACCACTCCCCCTCTCCTCATCCAAAAGATTAGAATTAGGCAATGCTCAATGCTGCCGTAGTGACAAGAAGAGATAAAATACAGACCGAAGAAATTCAATTTTTGTTGGACGAACTGGAATTTGATTCAGAGACTGGGACTGCAACAAGTCATGCAACTTATTACAGAGCATCATCATCATGTAGCAGGTCCTTTGCAGAATATCGCTCTCATTACGGTCTGCCTGAAAGAAACTCGGTCTCTCGCCAGCTCTCCCGCCTCATGTACTTTCATACTGAAGGAGTCACTTATATCCTGTGCCGATCTTCGTGTTGCTCGGCCCCTGCCCCTCCTTCCTGGTACCATGCCTTCTGCTATTATTTTTTTTTCAATCCGTCGTGGCGCTTGATATGACCAAAATATTTCAGCTTCCGAGACAGGATGCTGTTTATTAGCCAATCTTCCTTGATGTTTAGATCTTTCAAGATGTCAGTATTTCTCCTCTTCTTTTCCAAGATATTCTAAGAATCTTTCTATAGCATTCAGCTCAAAAGCCTCTATTCTCTTTCCTTAGGACTGTATTACAGAGCAGCAGATAGGAAATGTCAAATCAGTACTGCTGTATGGAACAGAAATATGGAAAACAACTAAAACAGTTACTAATAACTACAAACATTCATTAGCTGGTGCCTGCGCAGAATGGAGGGAATTAAATAGTATGACAGAATCACTAATGTTGAGCTTCAGGACAGACCTAAACAAGTTCCAGTGGACCAAGAGGTGAAGAAAAGACGCTGGCGTTGGTAGAACACGTGTTCAGAAAACCTGAGAACCATAAAACTAGAATGTCTTTGTACTGAAACCGTCAGAGGCACAGATATCAAGGCAGACCAAGAACACACGGGGAAAGGAAGCTAGAGGATGAAGATAAAAAGATGGGGAGGAACATGTGAGTTAACTGATGCAATTGTGAAGTATAGACGACAAGGCGTGTGTTGGTTGACGGCCTATGCTCCATTGGTAGTTAGAAAGGCAGAAGAACAGATGTGATGGTTTGGCCTATTGGCGAGCATGCCCTGGTACCAACTGCTAGAGAGAGCTACATTGAAGAAATATAATAGACACGGGGTGAGGGAAAGACCAAACAGACTATGGAATGACACTATCAAGAACAACATCGAGGGGGCCAAAAGACCAGCTAACTAAACAGCGCATTAGGAAGTTTACAAAGAAAACCTTACATCTTCCCCAATACTTCGATGATGTAACCGGAATAATAATAATAATAACAAAAAGAAGAAGAAGAAACATAACTGTTTGTCTGTCTGTCTGTCTGTCTGCCACTCCAAGTCTGGCTGTCTTACAACTGAGACTCGGATTAATAATTCAAGAAGCCCCTGAATCGAAATGCCTGAACTTATGAATTATTTACGATGGTGCCAAAGCTGTATGACTTGTACATAATATATTTATTTATATATTTATCAAAATATTTTTTTACTTATACATTATTCATCTATTTTGTGTATTTATCTGACAGGCCTTCAAATCAGTCAGATTTTACACTGTCATTGCATTTTATCTTTAAAGCATGTTAGTTTCATCTTGGATTTTTTTAAATGAACACAGCATGCTTAAAAGGGCTATCCTCTGAATAACGGTCCTAAATTATCGAGGCGGAAAATATACCCTCAGGGCCTCAGTCACGTGTTAATTGCGCACTTCCAGGGACTATAACACCAACGCCGAATTGCGAACTTTCGGCGACTCCGGCCACCGCCGAGTGGTATCCCCTACGCCGCTCACGCGGCGTGGATTGGGGCTAAACTAGATGGCTAGGACTCAGAAGCAAATAAAATGACGGAAGCTGCAGAAGATGCGGTAGCTGCTGCCTGTGAGTCCCAGCCATCTAGTTTAGCCCCAATCCACGCGGCGTGTGGGATACTCTCGGCGGTGGCAAAAGTCGCCGGAAGTGCGCAATCGACACGTGACTGAGGCCCTATTAGGGTATATTTTCCGCCTCGATAATTTAGGACCGTTACTCCGAGGATAACCCTTAAAAGATCAAATACAATTGCAGTATGAACGACGAGTGTTTCGAAAAGCCGAATGTAAGAGGGGCCTCCTCTGCCATTTGGTCAACATTTAAAAATACAGTTTTTTCGTTTGTCCATTTGTGCGTGCGTTCATTCTATTGATTCCCAATTTAGTCACACGGTATCGACAACCGCAGCACAATAAACAAATTCAGCATCGATATTTAGAACTCGTGGCGACAATACCAGGTAGGCGCCCTAAATACCGAGGCTAAAGGACTCTCTGTCTACACCGCCCTAAAAGTGGTAAAACAGACAGTAGTGAACGTGACAGCATCGAGATGTTTATTCATCTTCTTCTTCAGCATTACTGCAGATATCACCCGCCATCCACTCATCTTTCTGGTTGGCCTTCTCTCTCTAGTTGGTAACACCAAGTGTTTAAAGGTCTGTCTGGACCTTATCTCTCCATCATCTTCTTGGTCTGGCTCGTGGTCTACGACCATGCAGCTCCCTTGTGTATACAGTTTTTACCTCTCTGCCCTGCCCGGATCTCTAGCGTAGTTGGCTAAATCAGATTGCGCGGTGAGCGGGTGACGAACTCCTTGTGGTCCGGGTTCACTCCCGGGGGGTAGGCAGAAAAGCCACATTTCTCCCAGATTTACCTCTCTGTCCTCTGACATGCTCGCAATATGCCCCAGCCATTTAAACCTTTCAGCTCTCATGATGCCACTGATTTGATATGTTTATGCCAAACAAAAACAGCACAAATGAATACCTTCAACGCTTAGCCATTAAACTAGTTACAGACTAAAGCAGTAACATGGTCCCCCGTGTGGGTTCCGGGGCCCCATTGTGGGGGAAAACAAGAATAGACCTACTGCCTCCCCAAAAGCATGTTGTAAGAATCGCCTAATTTGGGAGCTTCCTTTCAAGTCGGAGTGCATCTGCCGGAGAGGCAAGGAACCAACAGTCTGTATTCAAGAGAATGAGATCTATAAAACTGATGCACACGCAACACTCAGGTTCTGGAGCAGGACTGCAGTTCTGTAATGGACGAGCAACCAGAACTTTCCGCCAGAGTGTACAGCTGGTGAACGTGAAGAAGAAGAAGTAACATGGTTAGAGACACAAACTTTCACTAAGGCATGTTTTCTCAGTGACTCATTAAGTATGTTCAGGAAGATAGAAAAGGGCTGGGTCCAAAGGCAGTGGCTGGTGGATCGATAGCGTTCACGGCTGACAATGATTAGTTTCATTTTCGTGCCAGGATATGTGGGGGTACAAGAAAATAAGCAAGCTGATAGACTCGCAGGTAAGGCTACTGTGAAAGCCGGACAAGCCATGGGCCAGGCTGATATACTGAATGCTCTACTCTGCGAGATTTAAGACGTTTGCGTGAACCAGTTGGGAACTGTGAATCTGCAACCATGGTCAGACTGCAAGAACAGCGAGTTAAACGGAGTGTCGCCAAACAAGAACACTACTCGGGTAGCCAAAGAAGAAGAATAAACCAACACATAACCGGTATCGTTAGCTGCTACACGCTGTGAGATTTACTGAGGAGGGGATCCAACCACTTATGGACTGAATGGTTCGATGTGCAATAAGCATAATCTGTCAACTAACTAACTAGTTACAGACATGACACAAAGTGAAAAGACATTTATTGATTGATTCTTTTCTTTAGTCGCCTACACGGTACGGGCACCGTGGTGCAGCTACTAGACGCTCTCCTGCGGTTCCGAAAGTCGTGGGTTTCAGTTCCTGACATAGCTGGACTTTCGTTCCCAGCCTTAAATGGGCACCAGGTAAAGTCCTGGGAAGTAAAAGTGGTAGGCGTAGTGTTGAGCATATCACCCATCAAGTGCTACTTGGTCCATAAAATACAGCCCTATGTGCTCAATACGCCTAAAGGCGAGGAAAAGGATCATTCGCTTGTTTGCCTTACTTTTTGGGACAGAAAAACGCGACACTGACAGTTCGCATGCAAGGAGATAATGAAGTCACTCTGGGTGGCAGAAAACCTTAAGAAAAATATACTGTATTTCATTTCCTGTCTCTCTCTCTCTCTCTCTCTCTCTCTCTTTCTCCAGCTCTGTTCTTCTCTCTCAGTCTTTCCTCTCTCTCCTCCTCACTATCTCTCAGTGTCCCTGTCTGTCTGTCTATCTGTCTGTCTGTCTGTCTGTCTGTCTGTCTGTCTGTCTGTCTGTCTGTCTGTCTGTCTGTCTGTCTGTCTGTCTGTCTGTCTGTCTGTCTGTCTGTCTGTCTGTCTGTCTGTCTGTCTGTCTGTCTGTCTGTCTGTCTGTCTGACTGTCTGTCGGTCTGTCTGTCTGTCTGTCTGTCTGTCTGTCTGTCTGTCTGTCTGTCTGTCTGTCTGTCTGTCTGTCTGTCTGTCTGTCTGTCTGTCTGTCTGTCTGTCTGTCTGTCTGTCTGTCTCTCTCTCTCTCTCTATATATATATATATATATATATATATATATATATATATATATATATATATATATATATAATGCATATGTTCAAATAACCACTGATCACTGGCATCATGAGAGCTAATAGACTGAAATGGTTGGGGCATTTTATAATAATATTAGATGACAGAAGTAAAAACTGTATACACAAGGGAGATGAATGGTCGCAGACCACGAGGCAGACCAAGAAGACGATGGAGCGATAATATCCAGAGAGACCTGCAAACACTTATTGTCACCAACTGAAAAGAGAAGGCCACCTAGAGAGACGAGTGGAGGCGGGTGAAATCTGCAGCAATGAACCTCAAGGGCTCGGAATTCTGAAGAAGAAGAAAAAAAAAGGATATATAAAGTTATAGTCCCCGGAAGTGGGCTATTGACACGTGACTGAGGCCCTGTTAGGGTATATTTTTCCGCCTCGATAATCTAGGACCGTTTTTCGGAGGATAGCCCCTTTTCTGTTAATCTATATTAAAAGGATAACCCTTCCCTATCCCTCCTTTTAATCATACTTTTCAAAGGACAACTGTTGTATTTTAATCTTTCTAAACTTTAGTTCATCTCAATAATAATAATAATAATAATAATAATAATAATAATAATAATAATAATAAACAGCGAAATCAAAGAAAAATGAGGATACAAATTCCTTTTCTATACATCTAAACTGGAAAGCTTACACTTTTATATTTCTAATCATACTCTGAAAACTGGCAACTGTTGTATACTATTCTGTCTAAATTCAAGCCTAACCCGATACAGAATGCACTCTACGACAAGGAAACAGTCACAGTTCTCAGATATTCTAATACCTTCATTAGAATGTCATTTATCATTCCCAGAATACTGTATCCCGGAAGTTGTAACCCTTGTTATGAATACTAATTATGCAGCGGAAAAGAGACATTTAGTATGGAGCTGCATAAAGGCTGTCATGTGTTAATTAGGCAGGGCTGAGTTAGTTAGTCTTTCCTCTTGAGCCTAAGGTGGCGCATAGGGCAGAGGCCATAGCTCTCCATGTCTGGCGGTTCGTTGCCACCTGTTTTAGGTCTTGAATGTTCAGTAGGCTAATGATTGAGTCTTTCCTGATGATGGTTCCCCGCTAAGTCTCTCTTGCTTTTCCTCGTTTTATGTTCCATTCCGGTGTCCATTTGAGGGCTTGATTGGGAGTCTTGTCTTATCCATTCTGAGTGCATCATGGCCACTGTAGTTCCAGCAGGGCTTTCTAATAAAATTTGATTATTTATCTTGCTTAATCTCTTGTCTTTTTTGCGTATTGGATCTGAAATCTGTCCAGTAAAGATTGAGTATTCTTCTAAGACATTTGTTCTCAAAATTGTCCAATTGTTAAAATTATTATTATGATCTAGAGCTACCGTTGCTTTCCTACTGTCGCATCCATGTTGGCAGTGGAATCACACAAGAATTGAAGATCTTAAATTGTGTGTGTGTATGCTGAATGTCTTTGCCTCCTAGAAGTCACTAGTTGCCAGTGCGATTCTAGATGATATTTCTGTCGCGGAATCCCCTACAGATGTCATCTTACTCCCTAGGTTTGTAAAGCTGTTGACTTTTTCAAGAATATGATCGTTTAGTTTGACGTTCTCTAAACTATTGGTGAGATCAATCATTTTTGTTTTTGCTGTGTTAATTTGGAGACCATGAAACATCTTGAAGATTGTTTTCTCATGGAGATCTGGCAGAGCTACAATATGAACATCTTAGTAGACTTTCTCCTTTGTCTTTATGTACCAGATTCATAAAGAACATTTGTTAGTACATGTTTACAAGAACATGCCACCCGTACTCAATTTACAATGTCCAAGTGGTCAAACACAAGTTGTGAAACAT